TCTATCTATCTATCTATCTATCTGTCATGGGTCCTTACCTATAACTAGAGTATGGACTCTTCCTAACACTATGTATACTACGCCTCTCAAGAGAGAGGATCGAATCGAATCGAGCCGATAGTAGTTCACTCCAAACCAGACTGACAGTCATACTAACACCTTCCACATCTTGTATTATTATTTCGTGTAATATACCTTCGTTATTTCTATTCTTGTGTTCATGTTGTTTTTCCTTGGTCCTAACCTGGACCATAACAGTGTGTATAGTAAATTCCCATAAATTGGTTACATGTCTGTCTGTGTTTATTGTGAAGTCCCAGAAGATTGTTACATGTCCTATCTCTGTAACCGGGTCTTGGTGATGTTCATATTAGTTTCTTGCTGTTTCCTTCCTTGAGGCATGGACTTCCAGGAATCCCTTCAATTAGTCTACTGCAATCTTTTCCAACCAGTCCTAGGGTTCCAACTACAACAGGGATTGTTGATGTTCCCATATGCCACATTTTCGAGATTTCTATTTCAAGGTCCTTGTACTTTGACAACTTTTTGAATATCTTCAAAGATACATTGCAGTCAGCAGGAACTGCCATATCAATAAGGAGGCACCGTTTTTGTTTGTGGTCTTTAATAACAATATCTGGCCGGTTGGCCTTGATTGTTCTGTCAGTGTGTATTGTGTAATCCCATAGAATTGTAACAGGTCCTATCTCCGTAACCGGGTCTGGGTGGTGTTCATACCAGTTTCTTTTAGTTTCCTTCCCGTAGAAGTTGCAGATTTTCCAGTGCAGATATTGGTCCACTCTGTCATGTCGGGTTATTATTATTATTATTATTATTATATTCTTTGATTTCTGTCGTATAGACATTTACTTCCGGGTCCCAACCCGAGACCTAAGTTCAGAAATGACTTTATGACATGTTCTGCTGATTATTTATTTACCTCTCCACCCTGCAAAAAAAAAAAAAAAAAAATTTCACATTGATAATGCTCTTCGTAATGTGTGAGCTGTACTTGCGAGGACATTTTTTTTTTCTATTTTTTTAAGGCATGGTCTACCAAGTGATCCGTTCAATCAGTCTATCGGAACCATTTCCAATTAATCCGAGTGATCCAACTACAACTGGAATTATTGATGTCTTCATGTGCCATATTTTTAAGATTTCCACTTCAAGGTCATTGTATTTCGACAGTTTTTTTTTTAAGATCTTCAAAGATGCATTGAAATCTTTAGGGACTGTCAAAGACAATAAGAAAGCACATTCTGTTTTTGTGGTCTTTGATCACGATGTCTAGTCGATTCGATTCATTTGTTTTTGTCTGTGTTTATTTGTGAAGTCCCAGAAAATTGTTACATGTGCTATCTCTATAACCGGCTCTTGGTGATATTCATATTAGTTTCTTGCTGTTTCCTTCCCGTAAATGTTGCATATTTTCCAGTGCAGATATTGCCCCTGTCTCTCTCTCTCTCTCTCTCTCATGCAGAGTTTTATATTCAGTGGGTGCTAACACCGTGCAACCTATTTCAAGATAGTCAACTGTTTCTGGATATTTATCACAGAATCTCTATTTCGAGTTAACAGATGTTTCCCGTATATCTGTTTGGTAATTTCTAGTTAGAAAACATTAGTCCAATAAAAGCTTCGTTTTCAGCTTTTAACCCTGCACTACGTAACAACTGATGGGCACAGTGTTTGTCTACATTAGCTTGTTTGGTACGGGCAGAGTATTAACCATGAAGAGGCCTACCTTGCAATCATTCCTGCATTTGGTACATTGCATTTGCTTTCTTTTTATGTTCTTTGCCGCTGCAGTAAGTTTATTATGATTTATTTACACTTCTTCGCCAACCTGTTATTCCCTTTTGAATGTGTTATTATTATTATTATTATTTCTGGAATATACCTAGTATATTAATATATCTAATTTTATTAAGATTTTATTGGTATTTGGTTAAAATGATTACATGTCCTCTCTCTGTAACCGGGTCTGGTCGATACACTTGCCGTTTCCTTTCCGTAAAAGTTGCAGATTTTCCGGTGTAGATATTGGCCCACCCTATAATCGTCAGTTTTATATTCAGTGGGTGCTAACACCGTGCACATTGATCCTGTAGAGCTGGGTCCAAACTATGGTACTTAGTGTCATTTGATAGTACTTTTCTTAGCATAAGGGATGTTCTTAGTAGGTGTTGTAGAGTAATTTTCACAGTGGAGGCTTGTATTTCACTAAGTCGGTCCTAAATTTTTTTCGGGATATTTATTACATAATCTGCATTTCGGGTTAACACGTTTTTGCGGTATGTGTGTTTGGTAATTTCTAGTTAGAAAGCATTTGGTCTAGTGGAGCAAAACTAAAACCTTCATTTTCAGTTTTTAACCCTGCACTACGTAAGCACTGATGAGTACTGAGTTTGTCTACATTATCTTGTTTGGTACAAGCAGAGTATTGAGCATGAAGAGGACTACCTTGCTATCATTTCTGCATTTTATACATTGCATTTGCTTTTGCATTCTTTTTTTAGCTTCTTTTCCGCTGCAATAGGTATATTATGGTTTATTTGCATTTCTTCATCCACTTGAAATTCCCTTTTGAATTTGTTGGCTTCCTTTATTACTGAACAAAATTTCTTATTTCTTCCAGAGGAGGCACGGTGGAGTAACGGATAGCGGCTCGGATTGAGGAATCGGAGAGCAGAGTTCAAATTCCAGTCGAATCCATTACATGACGTAAGTGCTAATACCCTTGGGAAAGGTATGAATCCTCTTCTTCTTCCCCCACCCAGCTATGGGTAAATAGCAGGGCCGACCGAGTTCTATAGCCTTGGATGACAACTGGTCTACTGCAGAAAGAAATGACAACCTACTGCGGGGAAAAATCTGCCTCGTCAGTCATGTATCGAAAGATACACGATCATCTAAGCGTTTACCAAACATGGCACATAACTGCATACATTTTTTATGTGAATTATAAAATCCTTTAATGTCAACTCACAAAAGTAATGTGCAAATATCCCGCAGTCGCTGAAGTTATTATTATTATTATTATTATTTGATTTCTGTTGTAGACACATTTCCTTCCGGGCCCTAACCAGAGATCTAAGGTCAGAAATGGCTTAATGAAATCTTCCACTAATCATTTTTGTAAAAAAAAAAAAAATCACACACATTTTACATAGATAAAGCTCTTCGTGATGTGTGAGCTGTACTTGTGAGTACAATTTATTTTAGACATGGACTACCAGGAATCTCTTTAATGAATCTATCGGAACCTTTTCCACTCAATCCGAGGGCTCCAACTACCAATGTCGTCATTTTTAAGTTTTCCACTTCAAAATCCTTGTAATAAAAGATCTTCAAAGATACATTACAATCTGCCATATCAATAAAAGAAGATCTTCAAAGATACATTACAATCTGCCATATCAATAAAAGAAGATCTTCAAAGATACATTACAATCTGCCATATCAATAAAAAGAAGATCTTCAAAGATACATTACAATCTGCCATATCAATAAAAAAAGATCTTCAAAGATACATTTACAATCTGCCATATCAATAAAAGAAGATCTTCAAAGATACATTACAATCTGCCATATCAATAAAAAAGCACATCCTGTTTGTGTGGTCTCTGATCGCGATGTCTGGGTAATTATCTTTGATTGTACTGTCTGTATGTATTGTAAAGTCTCATAAAATTGTTAAAGGTCCTATCTCTGTAATCGAGTCCTGGGTAATGTTCATACCAGCCTCTTGCTGTTTTCTTCCCGTACAAGTTGCATATTTTCCAGTGCAGTTATTGACCCACTCTGTCATGTCGAGTTTTATATTCAATGGTTGCTAACACCGTGCAACCTGATACAAGATGGTCAATTATTTCTGGATATTTATCACAGAATCTGTATTTCGAGTTAGCACAATTTTTCAGTATGTGTGTTTGGTAATTTCTTGTCAGCATGCATTGGCCCTGAGCAGCAAGAATAAAACCTTCCGTTTCAGTTTTAACCCAATACTACATAAACACTGATGGGCACGGGTTTGTCTACATCAGCTTGCTGTGTATTGACCATGAAGAGGCTTACCTTGCCATCATTTCTGCATTTGATACATTGCTTTTGTCTTTGCTTTCGTTTTTAGCTTCTTTGCCGCTGCAGTAGGTATATTATGGTTTATTTGCATTTCTTCATCCACTTGAAATCCCCTTTTGAATTTGTTGACTTCCTTTATTACTGAACAAAATTTCTTATTTCTATCATGTTTTTTTCATCCAGTTTCCAGGTATCTTTGAAGACTGGTTGTTGCGGGTTTGTAAGACAGTTCTAGTTGAACTAATCCTCTACCTCCTTCGGATCTGGGTACATAGACGAGCAAGTGAGAAGGTTTCATGTTTTGATATCCATTCGCTTAATGTCAGCTATGGTCGAATGTTGAAACCCTATTGCAGCACAGAGACAGCCAAAATGATTATGGCTGATATTCCGTATTTTGAATTATTATTATTATTATTATTTATTATTATTATTTATATATATATATATATGTATATACATATATATATATATATATATATATATATATATATATATATATATATATATATATATATATATATATATATATATATATATATATATATATATATATATATATATATATATATATATATATATATATATATATATATATATATATATATATATATATATATATATATATATATATATATGTATACACATTCTGTTCGTGGTGGAGGTTGTCAGCAAGAATACACAGAACTGAAGAGATTTTCGAAGAGGAAATGAAAGCTGTTTTCTGGAGATTGGCATTATTGGTATTACTTCTAATTGAAGGTGTTCAAATATTTAAAACACAGACATATACTGGTGCGAATGTTATATTTAAATATGAAACCATACTGTGGAAAATAATATATATAAAACAAGAAAAAATGAAGAAAAGGCGTAGGTAAAGGGAGAACATCTCATTTTCCTTAAGAACTGAATTATTCCAGATATTTCGGTCCGCAAACATTAAACAGGTTTCTCGTAGCTTTCAGTCGGTCATAATAGATAGATAGATAGATAGATAGATAGATAGATAGATAGATAGATAGGAAGAGTTTAAGAAAAGTAGATACGTAGAAACGGATTGTGATATATGAACAGACTGAGATAGATAGATAGATAGATAGATAGATAGATAGATAGATAGATAGATAGATAGAAAGGAAGAGTTTCAGAAAAATATATAGATAGACACAGACTAAGATAGATAGATAGATAGATAGATAGATAGATAGATATGAAGAGACTGAGATAGATAGATAGATAGATAGATAGATAGATAGGAAGAGTTTCAGAAAATTAGATAGATAGACACAGACTAAGATAGATAGATAGATAGATAGATAGATATATATAGATGAGATAGATAGATAGATAGATAGATAGATAGATAGATAGATAGATAGATAGATAGATAGATAGATATGAAGAGACTGAGATAGATAGATAGATAGATAGATAGATAGATAGATAGATAGATAGATAGATAGATAGGAAGAGTCTGAGAAAAGTAGATAGGTAGAAACAGACAGAGATATATGAAGAGACTGAGATAGATAGATAGATAGATAGATAGATAGATAGATAGATAGATAGATAGATAGATAGAAAGAAACAGACGGTGATAAATATTTTCTCACTGGTCCCTCCTTGTCAACGGAGACCAGTGAGTAAATAGAAATAGTTTCACCTTTCGGGAGGTACACTTTTCTTTAGTAGGACTTCTCGATATCGACCAGTTGATATTAATTTTGTTGTTCGGGAAAAAAAAACAACTGTTAATTCAAACAGCTGTACTCAGAAAAAATGAGTTTAAAAGCAATGAGAAATTGTTCGACATATAGATTTACTTATACATACGTCTCTTTCTCTCCATCTCCCCAGTCTCTCACTCTATGTATATATATATATATATATATATATTTATTATTTTATGTTCTTTTTTAGATACAAGTATTTAAGTAAATGCTCTGTTTATAATAAACAGTATTAGATAACATTTACCGGCCTGAATGTCCGAGAAATATAGAAATAGAAATTTTTGTATCTATAAAGAACGTTAAACATAAAAATGTCTTTAATAAATAAAATTTCGGACTTTGTCCATTTCTTTATATATATATATATTTATTAAAGACATTTTTATTTATGTTTAACGTTGTTTTTTTTTTATAGATACAAGTATTTAAGCAAATGCTCTGTTTATGATAAACAGTATTAAATAACATTTACCGGCCTGAATGTCCGAGAAATTTTCATAGAAAATATTCGTTCATAGACAGATTCGAACCTGCATCCTATACGGAACCGCCATATACGCTGGCGTGCCTTGACCACTCGGCCACCATGAACCTTATGGTAGACAAGGTCGAATTTACTGTTATAAACTACAATCTTCCATGAATCTCGTAACATTCATAACTGCTCTGGCGTATCGAATGTAAACAAATGACGTCATATGTTAGAAATGGACGAGGTTTAATTTATTTATTAAAACATTTTTATTTATGTTTAACGTTAAACATAAAAAAAATGTCTTTAATAAATAAATTGTCGGACCTCGTCCATTTCTTTGTCCATATATATATATATATATATATATATATATATAATATATATATATATATATGAAGAAAAATATTTGGAAAAAAAACAAAACAAAAATCCTTAAATGCAATTATATTTGTTTTAATATGAATGAAATATCAACGTCTGACGTTTCGGTTTAATAAAATGCTTATGTTAATTGTATTTTAATGAATATTGTCCTGAAGAAGGTTTATTAAACCGAAACGTCAGACGTTGACATTTCATTCATATTAAAACAACATAATTGCATTTAAGGATTTTTCTTTGTTTTTTTCCAAATATTTTTCTTCATTCTGTCGGATCTATACCCATTTATATTTGCTTACATATATATATATATATATATATATATATATTAAGATATCCTCAGACGATTTTTATCAATTTTTTCTATTTGTCTAATGATTTTGTGGACAACTTGTATACATACACATATACACACACACACATATATATATATATATATAACGAGTGTAACAGAATAATTGTCCAGCCCACAAAATGTTTAATATCTAAAAACCCTAAAATATAATTGAGGCTTTTCCAGGTTTTCATATAAGACGTTTCGCCATCTTGACACTATTTGTCGTAAAATTCACTGAAAAACTTTTTCGGTTATTCGACAAGAAAGAGAACAGCTTCAATCTTTTCGTGTCAGAATAACGATTTTTTTCCCAACTAACCAATTGTGAGAGGAAGAAGATCATTCGGCCAATCAGTAATGGTTCCATCTTCAAAGTCCAATCAAAACCATCAAGGGAATAAGTTTTAAAAAGAGGGAACAGTAGAGAGGAAAACTGGATCAGGAGGTCCCAACAGCAAGAGGGATCATCCTTTTAATCCAGACATAAAGAGATCAACTAAAAAAGCCTCAACTCAATTCATGAGACGTTTGACACCTGAGATGGGAGTTTGATATGTGACAGTCCAAAGAGCGGTGTAAAAAGTTTTGAAAATGATATCATACGTTAAACCTGTAAGGCATCCTGTTACAACAGGACAGAAAGCTAGAACGTTAGAGAGGGCTAAGATCATCTTGAATAAGTTTCAAAATGGTGCTGGTATAGTATATATATATATATATGTGAACTTTATTTCAATCCTTCATGAGCTTCCGATCCTTAGCTATGATTAATTAATGATGAATAAGTCATTTTTTGTTTATGATCGATTTCATCACGATTCTTCTGTTAAGCTTGGAGAGTAATTATTCTTATTGCTCAAAACAGAGCATATATATATATATATATATATCAGTAAGTTATTTACCATGTGTGATACACGCTTAGGCGATCATGTCTCTTTCGATACCCCGAAAGGCCGTCCTGCTATTTACCCATAGCTGGGGAGAGAAGACAATGATCCATACCTTTCCCAAGTGTATTACCACGTAAGTGAATGTAATGGATTCGGCTAGAATTCGAACTCGGGTCTCTGATCCCTCAATCCGATCCGCATTACACCACGCCAAGCTGCCCTCAATCGAATAATATTATAAATCACGTAAAAACTTCATTTATAAACATGGTTTGTTAGACCAATGTCACTCACGTGGTCACTTTTTTGACGATTCAAACTGTAAGTCTTTCTGTAATATGAATGACAGAATGTCGCACTATTTTACATAAACTTTTGTCTCTATATGAATAGAATATGTATTCTTTGGTTTAGATTGGTTTGATTTTTTTTGTTTTACGGCATATCGACCTCAATGGGTTATTTAATGCCGACAACATTTTTAGGATAGATTCGTATGAATAGAATATGTATTCTTTGGTTTAGATTGGTTTGGTTTATTTTGTTTTACGGTATATCAACCTCAGTGGGTTATTTAATGCCGATAACATTTTTAGGATAGATTCGTATGAATAGAATATGTATTCTTTGGTTCAGATTGGTTTGTTTTTTTTTGTTTTACGGCATATCAACCTCAATGGGTTATTTAATGCCGACAACATTTTTAGGATAGATTCGTATGAATAGAATATGTATTCTTTGGTTTAGATTGGTTTGGTTTATTTTGTTTTACGGTATATCAACCTCAATGGGTTATTTAATGCCGACAACATTTTTAGGATAGATTCGTATGAATAGAATATGTATTCTTTGGTTTGGATTGGTTTGGTTTATTTTGTTTTACGGCATATCAACCTCAATGGGTTATTTAATGCCGACAACATTTTTAGGATAGATTCGTATGAATAGAATATGTATTCTTTGGTTTAGATTGGTTTGGTTTATTTTGTTTTACGGCATATCAACCTCAATGGGTTATTTAATGCCGACAACATTTTTTAGATAGATTCGTATGAATAGAATATGTATTCTTTGGTTTAATTGGTTTGGTTTATTTTGTTTTTACGGCATATCAACCTCAATGGGTTATTTAATGCCGACAACATTTTTTAGGATAGATTCGTCTGAATAGAATATGTATTCTTTGGTTTAGATTGGTTTGGTTTATTTTGTTTTTTACGGCATATCAACCTCAATGGGTTATTTAATGCCGACAACATTTTTTAGGATAGATTCGTATGAATAGAATATGTATTCTTTGGTTTAGATTGGTTTGGTTTATTTTGTTTTACGGCATATCAACCTCAATGGGTTATTTAATGCCGACAACATTTTTAGGATAGATTCGTATGAATAGAATATGTATTCTTTGGTTTAGATTGGTTTGGTTTATTTTGTTTTACGGCATATCAACCTCAATGGGTTATTTAATGCCGACAACATTTTTAGGATAGATTCGTATGAATAGAATATGTATTCTTTGGTTTAGATTGGTTTGGTTTATTTTGTTTTACGGCATATCAACCTCAATGGGTTATTTAATGCCGACAGCATTTTTAGGATAGATTCGTCTGAATAGAATATGTATTCTTTGGTTTAGATTGGTTTGGTTTATTTTGTTTTACGGCATATCAACCTCAATGGGTTATTTAATGCCGACAACATTTTTAGGATAGATTCGTCTGAATAGAATATGTATTCTTTGGTTTAGATTGGTTTGGTTTATTTTGTTTTACGGCATATCAACCTCAATGGGTTATTTAATGCCGACAACATTTTTAGGATAGATTCGTATGAATAGAATATGTATTCTTTGGTTTAGATTGGTTTGGTTTATTTTGTTTTACGGCATATCAACCTCAATGGGTTATTTAATGCCGACAACATTTTTAGGATAGATTCGTATGAATAGAATATGTATTCTTTGGTTTAGATTGGGTCGTTTATTTTGTTTTACGGCATATCAACCTCAATGGGTTATTTAATGCCGACAACATTTTTAGGATAGATTCGTATGAATAGAATATGTATTCTTTGGTTTAGATTGGTTTGGTTTATTTTGTTTTACGGCATATCAACCTCAATGGGTTATTTAATGCCGATAACATTTTTAGATAGATTCGTCTGAATAGAATATGTATTCTTTGGTTTAGATTGGTTTGGTTTATTTTGTTTTACGGCATATCAACCTCAATGGGTTATTTAATGCCGATAACATTTTTAGGATAGATTCGTATGAATAGAATATGTATTCTTTGGTTTAGATTGGTTTGGTTTATTTTGTTTTACGGCATATCAACCTCAATGGGTTATTTAATGCCGATAACATTTTTTAGGATAGATTCGTCTGAATAGAATATGTATTCTTTGGTTTAGATTGGTTTGGTTTATTTTGTTTTTACGGCATATCAACCTCAATGGGTTATTTAATGCCGACAACATTTTAGGATAGATTCGTATGAATAGAATATGTATTCTTTGGTTTAGATTGGTTTGGTTTATTTTGTTTTACGGCATATCAACCTCAATGGGTTATTTAATGCCGATAACATTTTTTAGGATAGATTCGTATGAATAGAATATGTATTCTTTGGTTTAGATTGGTTTGGTTTATTTTGTTTTACGGCATATCAACCTCAATGGGTTATTTAATGCCGATAACATTTTTAGGATAGATTCGTATGAATAGAATATGTATTCTTTGGTTTAGATTGGTTTGGTTTATTTTGTTTTACGGCATATCAACCTCAATGGGTTATTTAATGCCGATAACATTTTTAGGATAGATTCGTATGAATAGAATAT